CATGCTCTTATCTACAATGATTCTGGACTTGACTGAATAGACTCAATGACTTGCTTTGGCTAAATGGACATCAGAAACTGTGATGTAACATGAAGCTGGAAAAGTGCTTATGTACTGGGACTTGTGTCTTGGAACACAGCCACCTTCAAGGTTTGCCTGCTAGAGACATGTGACCTAATTTATGGGCAGCACCAACTGCAAGTAATGTAAGTCAGTCAACGTTAGATTACCCTAATGTAGCTGATACAGCCACATGAAAGACCCCAGGTGACATCACCTAGCACAGCATGTATGAGGCCCTGAGTTTAATCCCCAGTATTTCACACAAAACAAAACAACAAAAAACAAACCAAAAACTTTTCTTCTAAAGTTTTGCTTTTCATATTTGGCTTTATAATCTATCTTCAATTAATTTTTGAGTATGGTAAATGATAGGAGTCTTACTGAATATATTTTTTTGTAAGCATCACCCAGTTGAACCCAGCCTAAACTGCTGACCACAGAACTGAGAGCAAATAAAATGATGGTTGTTTAAAACCACCCAGTTTTGGGGTTGTTTGTTACATAACATAAGCAATATAGTTTTTTCCTTAAGTAACCCTTCCACCTTGAGCATGGTAGTACTACTACTGGGGAGGGTGAGGCAGGAGGATGGTAAGTTCCAAGCCAGCCTGGGCAGTTAGTGAAACCTTGTCTCAAAACAAAATTTTAACAAGGGCTAAGGATGTAGCTTAGTGGTGGAGTGCTTGCCTAGCAGGTACAAGGTCCTGAGTTCAATCCCCAGTACCCTGAAAGAAAAGAGGGAAGAAAGGAAGGAAAGAAAAGGAAGAGAGAGGAAGAAAAAAGGAAGCCCCCCAAACCTTTCTTTGAAAGTTTTGCTTTTCAGATTTGAATTTATAATTCATATTCAGTTTATTTTTAGTGTGGTAAAAGATAGGGGTCTCACTGAATATAGTTTCATGAGACTAACCTGTTTTTCTAGCATTGTTTATTTAACAATCTATATATGTGTATTTGAAATGTTATATTTATCATGTACGTAGTTCCATATGTTGGTCTCTTTTTAGGCTCTCTGCTTTGTCCCATTAGACTATTTAGTTATCTTGGCACCAATACCACTTTGCTTATTACCGTTTTAAAGTTTCAATATCTGATAGGAAGCTTTCTTTATTTGCCTACCTAATATCTTGTGGTTCCTTTAAGAGATCTGCAAATCATCTTAATGAATAGGCTGTTCTCTAAGTTCAGATTTGACCTAATACATTATTTTTCAATTCTAGAGAATCATCTTCACCAAAGCCTCATGAAAGAAAGGTAGGTAAAAAGATACTGAAGAGCTGTAGAGATGGGAGGTACTCAGAATGGCCAGGGGAAATTCTCTGTTCATGAACAGTGTGTGCTCCCTGTTGGAAGCAGTAAGTTCTGCTGCTATAGGAATTTCCCAAGGGTTGAGTGAAGGAAAGACTCAGAAACCTGAGACTTCAAAGACCTCAGGATAGGCAGAGGCTCTGAGTGATGTGCCTGGCTTGGTCCTGGCTGCACGTCTCTTTTCAGTTTTGGTCCCCCAGTGGTTGCTTTTGCTGCTGTCGTGGCTGCTGTTGATCGTATTTGGCTCAGTAGTTGAACCACAACCATACTTTGGTGCTTGTTTCTAGCCAATATTCCTCTCTCTTTGTAGCTTGAGTACAGGTTATCCTCAGAGTTTCTTCAACTCTTCTAGATGTTTCCTACTATAGATGGTATATTCCTGATACTGTTTCTGACAAAGGGATGTAGGGATTAGTTCCTAGGATTCTTGCATCCTTTACACCTGTTCTACTCCCTCATGGATGTTAGTTAGCTGCCTGACTCCTTTGCTCTGGTCATTGTAGCATGAAGCTGATTTTGATTCTCCACATGGCTGGTTGGGTAAGTCTGCTCCAAGAAGTAATGTTCCCCATATGCAGGTCCAAAGCCTAGTTTGGGGGAGCAGTCCAATTTATGTTTTCTAATCCAATTTGCTGGAAACAGATACCATGTCTTAATCCTCATCTGATGTCAATGAACATTTCTGCATTATTTCAGTATTCATCAGAAGAGAGGTAGAAATGATGGGACATCCGTCTAATCTCAACAGTTTTTAAAACCTGATCTGAGGCTTCTCTTGGCCAGATCATATATGCCACTCCCATTAATGATTGTGTTATTTTATTATCTTAAATCTATAAGAGCCAAATTATTATCCTTATTTTATAGGTGAAGCTTAGGGAAGATAAATGACTTGCTCAGTTTCATAGACCAGTAAGTGGAAGAGTTGGGATTTGAATACATATTGTTGCAATTGCAAAAATTCTGCTGATAATAATTGAAGTTTAAAATAATAATAGCCATAGTAGTACTGATAATGCTTTATTTAAACGACAATAAAATAATTATATAATCTAATAATTACAATAAAATAATAACATGCTTATAATTTATTTTTGAAAAAACAAATAGGTGCATAATAACACTGTTTCATAGACCTGATATGTTTTATGATAGCCCCTATATTAAATTCATACATTTAAAAAGTCAGTTGGAAACCAGGTAAATATCCTTTGATTCATGTTGATATAGAATATTTGTTAGGAGTAAGGAATTGCTTCTGTGCTTATTCAGTCGATCCAAGAACTGAGCTGCTGTGCCAGATAGTGCCAAAACCCTTTTCTGGTTTGGCATTCAAATGCTGTTGAAAAAAAGAAAGAAAATAAAAGAAAAAAGGAAAAGAAATGCTCTCTTTCTGCAGAGGTTACTAACCTAAGGGTACTGGATATCTTCTACTTGTTCCTTCAAACCCACCCTCCACCATTTTATGGCCCACTCAGTGCCTCAGGAGGTTGACCCTAAGGAATTCATCCACAGGCTTTCTTCTGGCTTCTGGTGGGGCCAAACTATGGAGAATACCAGCAGGTGATTGGAGGGAGGAAGTGGTTGAGGTTGGAAAGCAATCTGATTTATCCCTTTCAGGTGGCCCTCTCCACACAGCCCTGTCAGTCTCTGGTTCCTTCCCCTCATCCCTTAAGGCTTGGAAGTGGTACTATCTCCCTACCAGGCTATTTCCAGCTCTGTGGCACTGCACTATTCTTGGTGGTATTTTTTACCCAGATCTTTGTAAATAGTCCAGTTTTTTAAAATTTTTTTTTTTGAGAGAGAGAGAGGAGAGAGGGGGGGGGAGGGAGGGAATTTTTTAATATTTATTTTTCAGTTTTCGGTGGACACAACATCTTTATTTTATTTTTATGTGGTGCTGAGGACCGAACCCAGCATCCCGCGCATGCCAGGCGAGCGTGTTACCGGTTGAGCCATATCCCCAGCAATAGTCTAGTTTATTATACTCTTCTCAGATTATTCATTCTAAAAGGGCACCTCTTTCCTGTTGCAACCCTCACCAATAGACTGATCAAGTTCTTGCCACATTGTGAAAAGATACATGTTTAGTAGAAGAGAATAAGAGAAAAGGGGAGGGAGAGAGAGAGAGAGAGAGAGAGAGAGAGAGAGAGAGAGAGAGAGAGGTGTCCAAGTGCTGTGGAGCCCCTAATTCTAGTCCCCAAGGTCCTAATCTCTGCAGCTCCTCCTTCCATTCTATGAATTACCTCATGGACTTATTATTAGATTATTTTTATTACTGTTAACTGTATCTTCCATGGCATGAAGGCAAGTAATAGGAGGCCCATTAATGTTTGAGTTGGGTTTTCTGTTACTTGCCATGAATTGGACTAGAATAGTTTGTGGTTTATGAAACTGAAAGGTCCAGAGTAAGGTTGTACTTCAGAATTAATTGATCTACTAGCTTGACAGTGTCACCAAAAACTCTGTTTGTCCTCCAGTGTCAGCTTCATTCTAAACTGGCTTTCTACAGAGTTGTAGAAAGACATGCACATGTACCCTCTTCACATTTGGTGGGAGACAGTTTCTTTCAGGTGCTCTCAGAAAATACAAGAAGTTCATTCCCAGAAACCCTCAGCAGAACTTTCTTTTCTTCTTATTGGCTGAGATAGTGTCACATGCCCATCTTTGAGACAGTAGCCAAAGCCAGGAAATAAAATGTGCTGATTTATGTAAACCTGAGCCATGAGCTCTGCCTCTTGAGTCAGGGATGAGATTGCCTTCTCCAAAAGCACTTGGGCTCCACAGTATAGAAGTAAGGGGGAGAATGAAAATAAACAACAATTAGGGGAGCTACTAAGAGAAAAGGGGATTAATATCAGGAGCTAACCATAAATATCTTCTATACCTGCCCAGCAACAAAGCCAATATTCTATATCCTGCTTAAACTGTTTTATGTTAGGTTTCCTTCTTGTCTAGGAAGATCTTGGTACTTATCTCTGCCATTGACTAGCTGTGTGACTTTGGGCACAGACAGAAGCCATCTCAGCCTTAGCTTCTGCTTCTGTAAAATTAAGATTATCTAACTGATAAAATTGCTGGAGGCTTGAGTGAGATGATAGATTTTGTTTTTCTTTCTTTCTTTCTTTCTTTCTTTCTTTCTTATAGTTGTAGATGGACAGAATGCCTTTATTTTATTTGTATATTTTCCTGTTGTGCTAAGGATCGAACCCAGTGCCTCACACATGCTGGGCAAGCACTATGCCATTGAGCTACAGCCCCAGCCCTGAGATGAGAGATTTTTAAAAAGCACTTTGTAACCTATATTAAATAAAAGTAAGAGCCCTTTTTAAAATTTTTATTTTATTGTGATGAGTACACTTAACATGAGATCTACTCTCTTAACAGATTTTTTTTTATTGGTTGTTCAAAACATTACAAAGCTCATGACATATCATCTTTCATACATTTGATTCAAATGGGTTATGAACTCCCATTTTTACCCCAAATACAAGTTGCAGAATCACATCGGTTACACATCCACATTTTTACATAATGCCATATTAGTGACTGTTGTATTCTGCTACCTTTCCTATCCCCTACTATCACCCCTCCCCTTCCCTCCCATCTTCCCTCTCTACCCCATCTGCTGTTATTCAATTCTCTCCCTTGTTTTTTTTTCCCCTTTCCCCTCACAAACTCTTATATGTAATTTTGTGTAACAATGAGGGTCTCCTTCCATTTCCATACAGTTTCCCTTCTCTCTCCCTTTCTTTCCCCCCACTCGTCTCTGTTTAATGTTAATCTTTTCCTCATGCTCTTCCTCCCTGTTCTGTTCTTAGTTGCTCTCTTTATATCAAAGAAGACATTTGGCATTTGTTTTTTAAGGATTGGCTAGCTTCACTTAGCATAATCTGCTCTAATGCCATCCATTTCCCTGCAAATTCCATGATTTTGTCATTTTTTAGTGCTGCGTAATACTCCATTGTGTATAAATGCCACATTTTTTTTATCCATTCATCTATTGAAGGGCATCTAGGTTGATTCCAGAGTCTAGCTATTGTGAATTGTGCTGCTATGATCATTGATGTGGCAGTATCCCTATAGTATGCTCTTTTAAGGTCCTCAGGGAATAGACCCAGAAGGGCGATAGCTGGGTCAAATGGTGGTTCCATTCCCAGCTTTCCCGGGAATCTCCATACTGCTTTCCATATTGGCCGCACCAATTTGCAGTCCCACCAGCAATGTACAAGTGTACCCTTTTCCTTTAAGTGCACAATATGGTATTGTTTGCTGTAGGCACATAGCATTGTTCTCATCATACCCTGGAGATCATGTTGCTCTCTTTGGTGAACAAATTAAATATTCCCACCTGACTTAAAAATGCTAGATTGTTAACAACCTCCCTAAGGTTTAATTCTCTCCCCTTTCCTTAGACTTTTCCCTGAACTAGTAAGAGCCAGAGTTGGTTTGAATTAGAGGTTCTTCTTCATTGCCCCGATAAAGAACAAAAATGTATGGTAATTCTAGTTGGTCAGCTCAAAAGTACTTATTGAGCACTTTGGGGTGTCTCTTCCTGTGCAAGACCAAATATAGCTATAACAGTTAGTGTGAATTATGACAGGAAAGCAAACTTCTATGCTGCTGGAGAGTAGTTAGGCAGCAGTTATTGTGTTACCTTCAAGGGTTTATACAAGCTCCCGTCAATGTAAGAACTTTTCTGGCTTGACTGTGATAAGGAAGAAAGTATTAAGAAAGTGACAATATGATTAGGAAATGTAGCAAGGTGGCTTTTAGTAGACCATAGAGAGCTTAAGAAACCTATGAATCTCAGTGTTCCCCTTTCTAGTCACCTGGAGATGAATACTCTGAGAAAATGGTAACTGGGTTCAGTTTTAAAAATGGCTTTTAATAATCAGAATAATATGGAAATATGGGCAAAGATGCTTCCTCCCTGCAACTGCACACAGTTGTTAATTACAGTGAATATCTTAGATTCTAAGGCTGTCATGTTTCTCACTGAGAAAACATTTTCCAAATACTACTCTCTTTGCCCTGTCCTATTTGATGTGCATTAGTGAATATGAGAAGGAGGAATATATTTTATTGAAATATATTTAGAAACACACATACCCCTTTAATACCCACTGGCTTAAATGCATTTTGAGTACCCAAGAGCTCCTACTCTTCTCATCCAGTGTTTTCTCCTATAGAAGTAAAGAAGCTTAAGGAATACATAAGTAACTTCATGGTCCACAACCCAATAGCCAGCACATAAGCTTAGGTTCTGTGGTTCTAAATCCAGTTTCTTTCCCACTATTCTTTAGCTGCTTCACTCCTTGTCCACATAAACCTCAATAAAGAGTGTTGGGAAATGTGTTCTCTTATGTTTAGGGTATGATAACCGAATACAAGATAAATAAAATATATATGTGCATATATGTTATACATATGCATATATATAAAGGTTCTTGGTTTTATTAGTATTTTTTTATCCAGTTAGGAATATAGGACAGATCCACAAAAGGATTTTTTAAAAGGAGCATGTATTTAGTGGTTAATAAAAAAACTTAAACCAGTGAAGCATGACAAGTAATTTGTTGCTAATAATAAGGTAGCAAATTTTGCAAATGATTTTCCTTTAAAGCAGTCATAGGGATGATAAAGACTTTCTCATTCACTTGCCTTTCAGTGGCATTCTTTAACTGTGAAGAAAGGAGTGGTATTCTGACACCAGCTAGTCAGAGATTATAAACTGTGCATAAAAATAAATAAATTTACATGTAAAACAAATCTATTAAGTGGTTTTCCCCTGTGGAGATGAAAGAAAGACTGAGAACAATAAATACATAATAGGAATTTGGAATTTTCTAAAGTAGATAATTATTGAAAGTTGATGATTTGGGACATTTTTTTAGAGGACATGGAGGTAGAGAAAGTATAGTATTGATTGATAAAAGTATAGTATTTAAACAGACTGTGGAGAGATTATGGGGAAGGGGAGGATGCCTTCACTCCAAGCCCTAGAAGTGGCAAGTAAAAAAATGACATAGAGCAAAGAGAACCGACATTAAATGAATGATTGCTACATGGCAGGAAATTTGCTACATACTTAACCTATTATTTCTTTTAATGCTCACAAGAACCTGGGATAATTGGATTACAATCTATATAATTTCAATTGTATACAATAATTGGGATAAACAATCGAAATTGTATAGATAATGAAATTGATATCAGGAAATAAAATGTAATTTCCTGCGGTCCATTAGCTAGGAATTGAAGGAGACTAAATATCACAGTTCTTTTCAGTAGCTCTCATCAAGGCCACTATCTAAGGAAGCTGGTCTTGCTGGGAGGATGAGAGGCCAAAGGAAGGTTCCTTTTCAAGCCAGACACATAAGTGAGATGATGGTGAACCTTCCAGCCCAGCCAACCCTCCAGCTGAGCAACTGCAGGAGAAGCCAGCAGAGGAACTGTCCTGCCAGTCCACAAAACTGTGAGAAGAAATAGTTGTTGTTCTGAGCTGCTATATTATAAAGAGGTTTGTTATTAGGTAACTGAAATGGACAGGTTTTGATGTTAGGTCTTCCTTGTTGCAAAGATCGTATTCTTTCCAAAATACATACTACTACTTGGTCACCTATGACATAGCAATTCTTGATAAGGTAATCTATAACTCTCCTTTAAATTGTTTTAAAAATTACAGTATTAGATCTATAGAATTGGTAAAACCCAAGGTATGTTTGGAAAACAGTAGGCTCGTCTAATTAAGGTAGAAAGTTGTTGTAGAAGAAATAGAGGAAGGAAGAGTCTTATAGCACAGTGATTCAGAGTAAGAGCCGGGTTTGTGTCCTAGCTCAACTGCTCAGCAGCTTTATGACTTCTAGCGTCATAGAATTTCTCTGTGTTTTGGTATTGCCATCTGTTAAAAAGTAATAAAAATAGAACCTGCCTCAAAGGCTTGTTGCAAATGAGGTAACATAAGTAAAAAACTTAGAGCAGGAGCTGACTCATAGTGAGCACTCAAGTCATGGTCATCAAGCAGATGGGCAGCCCAGCCTACCATCAAGGTGAGGGGGACATCCCAAAGGCAGAATTTTATTCTGATAATGTGTTTGCTTTTGACAGTAGCACAGACCTTCTAAAGATTTAAGTGTCTGCTCAATTTTTGTGGATGGACTACTGAATTTTTTTCATCTTTTTGTCAAAGGTAGGAAAGGCTTATATTATAATGATAGCTAGTATAAGTCCCATTAGGGTAATAAATCCTTAATATCTGTATTGTATGTTCACCTATAAAACATTTCAAATCTTTTTGTCATTTGATTTCTAGTGTGCAAATAATTAGGAACATGAAGTCAGAGTTCTAGTCACTGATTCAACAAATAGTTTTGCAGCATTTATCATTGGTATCAGGTTCTTTTCTGGGTCAGGAGGAAAATAATGGAAAGGTAAACAGAAATTGTCTCTGTTGTCACAGATTTTACAGAAGAGCAGAGAAGAGAGATGAAGTCAGCAGGTGATTACTATACAGCATGGAGACCTTTTTGTTAGAGTAAGCATGGGGTGTTACCAGATCTTCCAGGAAGTATTCCTGACTCAGGGTGGGGAGAGAAACCAAATACAATGTATTTCACCTCTTGAAATGATGTGATCTAAATGGATACTCAAGAGATAAGTAGGAGTTGGCCAGGATTGTTTCTGAAATTTTATAAGACTAGCTCGCTTAAATAGTGAGCTCATGCAGAGGAGCAGTGAAGAGAATGCCACATTATTGAGGTCAACATCTGGTACTGGAATTTCATTCCTGACAGCTGAGAATAAGACAAAGTCTAGTTGATCATAACCCAAAGGTGAATAATGTAGTGAAAGTGACCAGAGAAGGCATCTCACGAGGTTTTCCTAGAGAGAAAAGAATGGGGAAAAGTGAGATTAAGAGTAGTTCATTTCTCAGGTCATAAACAGGCAGAAAAACAAAGGGAAGCATAATGGGAAAGTCAAGTTTCAGATAACCTAGAATCTGATCTTGGTTTAGCCATAAACTCCTTTTTTATTATGTGATGTTGGATAAGGAATTTTCCTTCTTTGAGACTCCGGTTTCTCCAACTATAAACTATGTGGGTTGAAGGAGACAAGAACTGAACACTCATCACAGAAGTCAGCCAAGCTATATTGAGTAGCTTAGTGCTACAGTTCAGCAACACTGACACTCCAGCCACAGCCTGGCCAGAGCATAAAGGAATGTAGGACCTGATACTGAGCCAATGAAGTCACTAAGTAACAATTCTAGAAAGGAAACTAACTTTTGTAATTCATGGCTCACTTCTGTGCTTACTGAAGGTTTGCAGAGGAAAGCACACTGTGATTTTATTTAGTTTCCTGTCTCCCTCCTGATCTTGGCACCCTCCTGCTTTCCTCTTTCTATTATAGAACTCAGAGAAGGTATATGGAGAAATGATCTTAGAGGAGCAGGGCCCAAAATAAAGAAAACTGATTGCAAATGGTGACACTTCAGATCTCAGTGGGAGAATGATCTTTAGAATACTGTGGTGGACATCAATCATTTTGTCTGCCTAGTACCCATTCTTTCTTCTTGGAACAGTATCCCCCTTTTTTTCAACACTGATTCCCCCACTCCAATCTAGTAGTTCTGGTAAAGATTGAAAATCATTAGCACAAGGGTAGATGTGTCACTTCAAGCCAGGGTGAGGAGAGATTTTGCCAATTTTAAATAAGGATAGGGGCTCAGTTCCTCTCAGATGGCAAAACAGTGAGATGGAGCCAGAAGCTATTAGTAGCCGTGTCCTTTGCTGTGAGGAGGAAACTGGTCTGTACTCAGTAGGCTGACACCCAGAGAAAAGAGGAAGGTGACACAGCATAGGAGGGTGAGAAGAAGAGGAGAATGAGAATACAGTCCGCTGGGCATAGTGGTACCTGCCTGTAATCCCAGCTACTGGGGAGGCTGAGACAGAGGATCACATATTCAAGACTAGCCTTGGCAATTTAGTAAGATCCTGCCTCAAAACAAAAAAATATATATAAAGGGCTGAAATGTAACTCAGTGATAAAGCACCCCTGGTTCAATCCCCAGTACCAAAAATAAAGAAAAGAATACAGTCTACTTTGTGGCATTATTATATCTATTTCCAGCGCTTCTTATGTGAAGCAATAAATTTGTCCTTTGACATTTTGGGCTTTCTGTCCCTAGCATTCAGCTCTTTCCCTGACCTCAACTCTCAGGTCATAAACATGCAAAAAAACAAAGGGAAGTTTAATGGGAAAATCAAGTGTCAGATAACCTGGAATCCGATCTTGGGTTAGCTGTGAGCTCCCTTTTATTATGTGATGTTAGATAAGAAATTTTCCCTCTCTGAGACTCTGGTTTCTCCGTCTATAAGCTATGTGGGTTACACCATTTGAAAGAAGACAAATTTTCTGCTGGAGGTGACTACATATGATTCAGCTTCCCTGGGGCAGCCCCTTACTTCTCATGTGTTCAGTATTTTTGTGGTTTACCAGGTGATACTTCTGGTGTGTGTGTGTGTGTGTGTGTGTGTGTGTGTGTGGTAGTGGGAGTTGAACCCAGGGATGCTTTACCACTGTGCAACATACCCAGCCCTTTTTATTTTTTCTTTTGAGACAGGAACTTACTAAGTTGCATAGGGCCTTGCTAAATTGCTGAGGCTGGCGTTGAACTTGTTATCCTCCTGCCTCAAAATCCGAATTCACTCCGAATTACAGGCATGCACCATTGCATCCAGTTAGATTAAGATCTTGAGCCCAGGATATAGCTAGTACTATTTGCTAGAAATGCCAAGCTCTCTGTCCACTTGGGCAAGAGCCTTAAAGTGATTCAGAATATGTTGTTCATTCAGTCAACAAACATCATTGAGCCTGTGCTAGGACAAAGTGCCATTCTAGGACCCAAGTATAGGACTAACTAGGACATGGTCTCTGTCCTCACAAAGATGATAATCTAGCATAATATATATCCCAGAAAACAGGAAATTAAGATAAAGTATGGTAGATGGAATGGTGGAAGGAGTTTTAAGTAGCTATGAGAAGCACTAAACTTGTTTTGATAAGAGTTAGGGAAGGTGATAAATTGAAATGCATTCTGCTGTCATGTACAAATAAATAGAACAAATAAAAATTAAAAAAAAAAAAAGAGTTAGGGAAGGACTGTCAGCAGGGCTAGTGCCAGTCCCTATTGTAACTTTCTGTGAAACAGAAAGAGAAGAACAAAAAGGAGAAATAAGCATCCTTTCCTCAAAACTCTTGATGCCAAATGACAGAAATTTGTCTTAAACTTTTATAAGTCTGTATTCACTATGCTGTGTTCAGCACACCCTAGGTGTATGCAGCCAGCACAGCTGTGTGTGGCACTCTGCTTCCCGGAGGAAATTACATTTAGGCTGAGATCGAAGGGCCAGAGTACATTAGCAGGCTGCCTACCTGAAGGCCTCAGGCCTGTCCCAGAACGGGGTCAGCTGCCAAATGTGCCATTATTTATTGAGGCAGTATGGCCCTCCTGTGGCTGCTCTGGTGTCCTCTCTGAAGCCACAATTCCTTCTCCTTCTTTTTAGTCTGGTCTTCCATGGAACCCTGAGCACTCTGTCCCTGCAGGTCATTCAATCTCCCCAGATCTGTTTGTCTATCGGGGACTAGGTTAAGAGTTTGTGTTTCTGGACTGTGGCCTGCAGTGGTGCTTAATTCAAAAAGGAAGTAACCCCAAGAGAAAACCTGATCCTCTCTGGGAGGCCTAGCCTGGAAGGTTAAGTATCAGAAGGCCTGAGGATTGCATAGCCTTTTCATGATTGGCTGCTAATTATGTTATTCCCTGGACTGCAGTTTTTTGTTTCCTTCTTTTTCTTTCTCTCTTTCTTTCTTTTTCTTTCTTTCATCTGTGGCATTTTCTTAGCTCAATAGGAGAAACTAATAAGGGTATATGCGCCCCTGTTATTTATAGAATCCTAAAATATTAGGCCTGGGGAAAAAACCCTTTCAGCATTCTTATCTAAGTGGAAATGAAAGCAAATGCAGATTTAAAGGAGTGTAGAAATTGTTTGTTTTTATAAGAAAAAAAAACTGGAAGAGAGCTCAGTACAGTTTCATGTTTTCTTTAGTTACATTGAGGGTTCGTGTGTTGCTGAAATATATATATGAATCACAGATCTTTTAGAACCAGCTGACAGGTGGGACAACTTTCCTTCTCCAACCATCTGCACCTCTGTGTAAAGATAGAACAGGGCTGGGGCTGTAGCTCAGTGGTAGAGCGCTTGCCTGGCATGCGTGAAGCACTGGGTTCAATCCTTGGCACCACATAAAAATAAACAAATAAAATACAGCATTCTGTTCATCTACAACTACAAAAAAAAATTTTTTTTTAAAGATAGAACAGGGTCATATTTCAATGCCCTGGTATCTCAATCATGAAATTAGCTCCACCTTAAGATGTTACTGGTCCCCATTACCAGACTCCACACCCATGGTAATGCTTGTTAGGTTAGGGTAGGGGGTGAGGATATTATGTTGTGATATGATGATATATTATTTCTGGGTTCATGGGGAATTCTTTCCATCCCGTTCCTCTTCTCTTTCTTGCTTCTCTGTAAGCTCTTCCAAGATTATCTTAAAGAAGCTGTTAGAATTCTAGACTATTCAAATGGAAGAACTTTCAAGAGTATCTGGCTTAGCTCTGCAGACTATAGCCAAGGAGCACAGGCCCAAAGGGGCATTGAGTGACAAAGGTCAGCCAGGGTGTAGAGGCAGAGATTAGACATCATAGCCAGTGCTCTACTACTGACGCTTTCTTTTGTGCCAGGTGATTAAATTGGAATGAATTTTTTGTACGGTTCTAAATAGCCTTCTGTCTTACTTCTTCTAGCTACAAATTGCTCTTTTCTAGTTCCTTCCTCTTCCCTCCATTCTCAAATTTTGAATCTTGTCCAGTAGCCACAACAGGTGTTGGGCCTGCATCTCAGCAAATCCTGAATCTTGGCTGGCAGGGTCCTGGGGGTGGAGCATGCCCTTGCACTACCAAACTGGCTGCCAGATCAGTTTCAAGGTCTTTTTGGCAATCTCCAAGGCCAATTCTACTAAAAGGCTCCTATGTCCTTGGAGCATTCAGTGAATGGCATGAAAACTAAAATCTGCTCTGAGCTCCCCAAAGGTAAGGGATATTTTATTGCAAACTTACTTTGAGCTCCCTAAGGATTATTTTCTTTCATATTGACCTGGTGTTAATATACAACGGAGGTTATTAAGACATGCGTATTGTTGACAATAATGGTCATAACAACTCATCTAATTGCCTGAAATCTTCCCATACTAGCCCTTTTTTAGCTTTTTATGCCACTGGAAAGGGAAGGGCTGCTGCAGTGCCTAATACAATATCTTTTCTACACGTATTAAATATTTGTAATAAATATTATTACAATTGAGATAACTTTTATCAAAACAGGTTTAGTGTTCAATAGACCTCAGTTTGAGTTTAAATAATGTCCACATAGGCCAGCCTTAGCAACTGGCAAGGCCCTAAGCAACTTAGCGGGACCCTTCCTCAAAATAAAAATAAAAAGGGCTGGGAGTATGGCTCAGTGGTTAAGCACCCCTAGGTCCATTCTCTAGAACTATCCCCCCAAATTATGTCCATTTTTGTAATTCAGACTGTGGGCATGTGCATCCATGGGGCAGCCCTAGGGGGTGTGCTGCTCAGATCTCCTAAGGAACCTGCTGGGAGGAGTATAGTCAGCTGCTGGCATCTAGGTGCACCTTCCAGGATTTATTGCAGTGTTTACCCTCACCCACCTCACTCCATTACAGTCTCCCTGGTACTAAAGCTAGCTCATATCTGCCCAACACAGAGCTCCTCAAACAGACAATCTCAGCTTCCCATCGACCTAGCTGAGACTTTCTCAAAGCCCCATCAAAGTCTGAGACTCCCTCTACTTGATCCTTCCCTCTGTTTTTAAACTGGTATTAGACCTGCATCACAATCTGAGGCTCTCCCACCTACACCAGATGCCTCACACCTTTATGCTTTCATAGGTGTTTCCCCCAATAAATTTCTTGCACTTCTTACTCCATCTTGATCTGTTTCCCTGTGGATCCATACAGGCACTCCAACCCAGTAGGCCCGAATCACAAAAAGTCTGTTTTTCCTGAGGGCTTTAGGTCTCTCCTAGGAGAGAACTCATTCTAAAGAAAGTGAAAAGTTAAGCAATGTGAGTTCAGTAACAGAATCTTCAAAAGCAAGGAGGAGCGGATCCAAATTCAACATTGGGTTTAGCATGCAATTTTGTTTCTTGGGTTCATGGCAGCCCCACATTGCCATTGGCCCTACGGCAAGCCCACCAGCAGTTTATATTTAGTAATTTGTGGAAATAAAATGGGGGTGAGGGAGAAATCAGAAATATATATAAGAATCACTTTACTAAAAACTATGAGTCAAAAGGGCACATGTAATACCTATTAAAGGCCCAAGTGACATACAGCGTGATGGGTGGACAGGTGATCTTCTCCCCTCTGTAAGTTCTATATAATGGATTCCACATACTGAGAACTCTAAGAATCCATGCCACCTGGCATCTCATCAGTATAGCTTGTGAGATTCACCCTTTAAGCCTCTCAGATATTAAGAGGAGCATTTCTCAAGGAGCTAGGGGCCTTTGTTAACAGGTGGAGGCAAGAGGTCACAAAACTATCTAACAATTCTAATCACAGACCATCAGAGCTGAAAAGAACCATAGAGATCATCTAGTCAGCTGGTTTCCAAACTAAGTCCCGTAGAGATTTTCAAGGGCTTGCTACAGATTAAATCTAAAAGTGTGGTAGTTTAAAGAAAGGAGAGATTAGGGCTGGGGATGTAGCTCAGTGGTGTAGCAGTTGCCTGGCATATTTGAGGCACTGGGCTCAATCCCCAGCACCAAAATAAAAAAATAAAAAGAGGCATGAGGTTAATTTGATTCAAGAGAGTATTGAATAAAAGTAAAGGGACAGGGGCTGGGGCTGTAGCTCAGTGGTAGAATGCTTGCCCTGTGGTAGAGTGAGGCCCTGGGTTCAATCCTCAGCACCATATAAAGATAAATAAATAAAATAAAGGTATTAAGTCCATCTACAACTATAAAAAAAAATAGAAATTAAAAAAAGTAAAGGGATAAGCAGGTGAATTTATCAGTGTAGGTCAAATGGCTAATAAGTTGTGGAGCTGAGAATTCTGATTTTCCTGTTTCTCATGTGACTTTAAATGGGACATTAGCTTTTAATTTTGTAATGTGAAGACTATGAGAAAATTACCCAAAATGGAAAGAATTTTGGGGTCGTGGTGTATGTTTTGTCTTTGTATTCTCAGTCCTGGGAGAGAGGCATATTGGATCTGCCTTTTGGATGCAACTGGGTGACTCTAAACAAGTATGCTTTTCCTGGAATCTGGTTTTCATTACTTGTGTATTCTCAGGCTCAAAAGGACAGGGATGCCGGCAGAAAGGCCTAATGGAAGGAATATGTGTGCTTCTAATTTGAAATAAGAACAACCACACCCCACAGATCTAAACCCATGGAAACTTCCACTGCCCTAAAGCAGTATATAGAGCAGCATTTCTGAAAGAGTTTTAAGAGATATTTAATGTGTTCCTGAAAGAGGTTTTCATATCAGATATTTTTGTTCCATATTATATTCCTTCTTGGAGATTCATGTTGCAGAGAGAAATGTCTGAAAAACTCTGCAAAAGATGTCTATTTAACCTTAAACCAATGTTTTACAAATTTTCTTGTTGATGGAAAATTTTATTCATGGGATATCTATAATCACTACACAAAACCCACTTGGGAAATGCTGGGAACAAAGAAGGTCTGGGTTGCAGTCCTGGCTTTGCCACTGACTTGCATTTTTACTCTTCTTTGAGCTTCAGTTTCCTCATCTGCATAAGGAGAGGATTAGAATCAATGATCTAGAGAGGAAAAAAAAGACAACAATTTATTGCACACCTCATGTGTGCCACCCTGATCATGCAATCAGGGCTTTGTGCTTAAAAGAGCCTTGCACTTTGTTTAATACTCTGCTGTCACCATCTGGAAATTCTTTATCATTTTTAACAAGGGGCCCCATATTTTTGTTTTGGATTGGCCCTGAAAATTATGTAGCTGGTCCTGGGTACCATTATCTCAGTCTAATGATAATGTATGTGTATTATTATTTATGACATGCAGACAGGCTAGTTGAAAACCAAAAAGGCTAATTAAATTGCTTAATGTCACAGAGGGAGTGAATAACAGAGGAAAGATTCCAGTCTAGTCTATCTGGTCTTTGTTCTTCTCACTAGACCAGCTGCCAGTACACACAGTTTATTATTCTAAGATTCTTTTGTTCTTTAAACTTCTACAAAATAATTATAGTAATCCCATTCACTGTTTGAGTGCATGTCTGGCTAAATGAATTGGTGAGTGATAAACTAGATGTCAGGGAATGGCTCTAGGAGTTAGATAGGGAGTTCAACAAACCAGGTTCTGCCATTTACTAACCAAAGTGACCTTGGGCAGCCCACTTCTCTGAGTCTCAGTCTACTTCACAGGTATGTTGTGAGGATTAAACAAAATAGTGCACTACCTAATGCATGGTAATCCCTTAATAGATTATTATTATTCTTTCATTTACCTGGGTAGACTAGATTTGCTATTGTGATATTAAAGCTCCAAATATTGTAACTCAATTGAGTTGTTTAATAACAAGTATAGAAACATTTATTTATTTAGGAAAAAAAAAAGCTGGACACTGCAATGTACACCTATAATTTGAGTTACTTGAGAGTCTGAGATGGGAGGATCACTTGAACCTAGGAGTTCAAGACCAGCCTGGGCAACACATTGAGGCCCTGTTTCAAAATTTAAATAAATGAAATTTTTATTAACCATTTTTAATAATTATTTTATTTGTCTATTTTTATGCAGTGCTAAGGATCGAACCCAGTACCTCACACATGCTAGGCAAGTGCTCTGCCACTGAATTACAGCGTCAGCCCTAAAGGAAATTTTAAATAAATAAAAACTTAAAAATGAAATTATATTTTAGCTGGATGTGGTAACGCATGCCTGTAATCCAGCAACTCAGTAGAGTGAGGCAGGAGGATGGTAAATCCAAGGCCAACCTCAGCAATTTAGTAAAGCCCTAAGCAACTTATTGAGACCCTGTCTCAACATAAAAAACAAAAACAAAAAGGGCTGTGGATGTGGCTCAGTGGTAAAAGCCCTCTGGGTTCAATCATCACTACTAAAAAAAAAAAATTAAATTAAATTTTGCTTCACTTCCAACCTACCAGGTTGGTGAGATATGCAATTTCAGATCTTTTGTAGGGATGCAAAATTCCAGATCTTACCAAATCTAGAAAATCTGGGAAACTGTCTTCAGTCCATTGTAGTTGTAGTGAAGACACTGATTTTCCAAGCAGGTATGGACCAGTAAAAAGTCCCTAGTGCAGTTTTTCAAGGTATGCATCTATACCTTCCATTGCAAACCTGGCCACCATGAACTTCTGTATGGCTCTCAAGCCATGGTTTGGTATCCATTCCCCAAGTATCCTGGAATGATCACTGCCAGGGATAGTGGGAGGGCACTGGGAGAGGGTCAAGCACTGGTACCCAACACCCCTTTGCCCATCCAGTTTTATAGAATCTGGCTCTGCTCCTTTTGATCCCCAGAGCTTTCCTGCGCCCAGGCATTACTATTACAACTCTGTCCCTTCAGAAATGTATACATTGGAAACAGTGACCTTCAAGTGTTTCCTGCCAGAAAGTATCCAACCTATAAAGGACTAAATGTTCTTTTAAATAGGGTACAGAATAATATTTCCTTTAAGTCTCTTTACTAAGTACACATCAGAAAATTAATTAATTCACTTCATTATACAATGTGCTTGGACTTTTCAGGCTTCCATGACCCTTTCTATATCTTAGATCTAAGCGTGTATGTCTTTTTTTTTTTTAAATTTTTTAATTGTAGTCGGACACAATACCTTTATTTATTTATTTATTTATTTTTATGTGGTGCTGAGGATTGAACCCAGGGCCCCGCACATGCTAGGTAAGTACTCTACCACTGAGCCACAGCCCCAGCCCCAAAGCCTGTATGTCTTATCTTTGCTGCAAATTGGGAAAGTAGAAGGGGTGGGGCAAGTGCCAGGACTTAACAGATTATTTTGCCAATTCTTTCCATTCCTATATGAACCCTCCCAACCAACTGTTTGGAATTCTACATTTCATGTCTTCAGAACCCCTTGAAAATAATGAGGGTAGAGGGTAGCCGGAAAAAAACAGGCTTTGGAAACCTTGATTTGGGAGAGTAAGTTTAGTATATGTAATGGTACAGAGGGATCAGTGTTAAAGGTATTATAAGAACCTAGGACAGGGCTAGGGATGTGGCTCAAATGGTAACGTGTTTGCCTGGCATGCACGGGGCGCTGGGTCCGATCCTCAGCACCACATAAAAATAAAATAAAGATGTTGTGTCCACCAAAAACTGAAAAAATTCTCTCTCTCTCTCTCTCTCTTAAAAAAAGAACCTAGGACACTGGTGTCCCTGGAATATGTAAAGCAGAAGGGAATAATGGGCCATCAGTTTTTTTCCCTTTCATAGACAATTATGCTGGGAGTCAAGGGTAAAGTTCTATGCTGTGAAGTAGAAGCAGAGCTGCAGAGCTGTAGTGCTGGGCCCTCTAGAGGCTAGTTCTTTTTATTCAATGAACATAACTGGCTGTTTCTGCACTGCTGGTCTCATCATTGCCTTTTTCCCTTTTTGGTTTGCTAGACAGACTCCATGTACATTCTGTCATCCCATTCCTCTAGTTTTCGTTTGGAACAGGCTCAGTATTAGGGCACAGTTCTAGAAGGAGATATTGATTCCCTTTGGAAACAGATTAAGGTAGAGAAAATTTCATGCAGGTTTTCTTGGGGGAGTGTTCTTGGACGATGTATCAGTAAGGAAATTAGGAAACAGGAGTGGGCAAAAGAAGGAGCTAACTCACAATGCGGTTGCAGCTGATGACTCAGCTGATCCTATTCTGGAGCTGAGATGATCCCTCAGAATTGACCCAAGTTGAGGTAGTAGAGCAAGACCTTTGTATCCCTCTGTGTTGGTTGTGAGAGGCTCCTAGAGGGGTTGTAACCTTAGTAAGACAGTTCCCTATGGCTCAGGGGAATTGCAGTAAGGGATGCAGTTGTTCATCAAATTAGTTTCTCTTCCCTTTTCATTAATTTCTGACTCCTTTATTCCCAGGACCTCATTCTCTGTCAGTTTAACCACTGCCACAGATGGGGTCTCTGATTTCATCCAGGAAGATTATGTTCTTGACTTCTTCATGGCACTTGAAAGAGTACAAGAGTACAATATTGGCTGAAAACCATGCTTTGTCTATTCCTCCTATGGTAAGATAATACCAATATCTTGATATTACTATTCTAATGAGAGGAGAGACCAGACTCCATGGTGCCAGAAAAAAAATGAGAAAAAGTCACATTCTCAAGACAGGATTAGTTATTTATAGGACTCCCATCCTCACCCCTCTAAAAGCATGAGCTCATCAGAGTAGTAGCACTTTTCCCTTCTTGGAAGAGTTGTAAATGTTGTGATCTTACTAGTCCTGGGGAGAAAGGGATGAGTGTGTGGTAAGGACCATTCTGGCTGTCTGCCAGAATCCGTTCTTTCTTCCATAGGAGTAGACATTTGGCTGGAACATGACTACCCAGATAGTCACCTCATTCACTAGTTCCATGCCATTTGTGGCCTATGTCCTTGTGAATGGATCTGAGCAGAAGAAATGAATGCAGATTTTGTCTGCCCTGGACTTCTTTGTCTCTCCTCACTAGCTAGAAATGCTTTGACCAGATTGACTTGGACATTACATGTTGAAGATGGCAGCACTTATTCTAGGCAGTAATTATTTAATTGAGTAGAGCAGAGTCATCTTCCTACTTTTTTTTTTTGCCTCCCTTCTCTACAGAATTGCCCTCTGCTGAAGGGAACCTCCTTGCAACCTTCCTCCAGTCCCTCCACCTCCACAAGATGGCTCACAACAATGACTGATACAGTTTCCTTTGCCTCAAAGATGTATACATTCTGCCAAGTGGTTTATGTCCCAACCATATGTCACAGTGCCCCTATGGATCAGACTAAGATTAGACATAAACTGAAACACTTTGTTTGGCTCTTTTCCTTTCCTAACTACTTCAGTCTCTCACTTGCAGGTTTTTCCTCATCACTGAATGCCTGTCTCAGGTTCTGCTTATAGGGAACCCAGCATCAGGCCACATGTTAATACTCTGCTCTATTTTCCCAAATCATGTTTTTATTAATTTCTGGGGAATTTCAGATCCACTCTGGGCTGTGAGCATCACAGGATCTAAATTAGCTCATGTGTGTGTACTAAGGAACTAGATAAAAAAAAGTGGGTTCTTTTGAAGTAATTGTAAGAAATACCTGCAACATAGGGTCATTCTGAGGTAAATGCTTACTTAGTCCAGTGCCTGACATGTAGTACATTCTCTTGGAAGTTTGAGAGCGGGAATTTCTTTTTCTTTTCTTTTTTCTTTTTTTTTTTTTGTTTTTGTTTTTGTTTACTTGTGTATCCCAAGTACATCCAGGTGAGTACTTTCACATAGTGTGCACTCAGTAAGTAATGTGTTGAATGAATGATTATTTAAGTTTTGCTTTGAGGGTTCAAGGTGATGTGATGGCATTTGACCAGCAGAGGGCAGAACCTATACAAAGATCTGATGGGCTGAGGGAGATGATTGGAACAGAGCTTTCAGACAGGCTGGCACAGATATAAGGGAGGGCTGAGAGAGCAATGCCTACATCACAGCACATTAAAAAGTTTAAATATAACCCTTTAAAATACTAGAATTTTATTTAATCCAACTCTCAGTAATGTAATACACTCATCATCTACTTTGTGAATTC